TCACTGTTTTTCACTTTTATCCCTTGATCTATTTTTTGTCTCTGATTGACCCCTAAACAATTAAAAGTGCATAGTTTAAGAATTTCTAACCATTTTAGACATAAGTCCAATCGGAACTAAAGGGCATCTTTGTCCAACCTTAATCAAGTATCGAGACTTAATCAAAAGCATCAATAGTAGGAGTACAAGTATTTAGAAAAGAAAACCCTTCATTTTCCTTAAACTTTGCATCAAATTTCTCCACAAAATTCCCAAATTCATTGATTACATACCTGAAAGAGACATGAAAAATCTGATGAATCTTTGGCCACTTAAGTATGAAATCAACGAATTTGGGAATTTTGTGAAAAAAATCTCGTGAAGAGTTTAAGGAGAATGAAGGGTTTTCTCTTCTCAAGATTTCTACTCCTATTCTCGATACTTTTGATTAAGTTTGCAATACTTTTAATCAAAGTTGAACAAAAATGCTCTTCGATTCTGACTGGACTTATGTCTAAAATGGCAAGAAGTTTTTAAATTATACACTTTTAATTATTCAAGAGTTAGTCGGAGATAAAAAAGTAGATCAGAAGCCAAAAGTGGAACCAACGGTGATAGTTTAGGGGCTCTCCAGGCATTTTAGTCTTGTTAAAGTGTAATGGAAAAAATTTCTCTTTAATGCAACGGAGAGGAGTCTAGTCCCCCTCTTCTACTTGCCACCCCTTGAAAAAAACTCTTACTAGAAAATTATAGTGCATAGAAAACTCTCAATAAAAATCCTAAGAAAGGGAAAATTAAGCTTTTTGTCATTTTTAATAATGATGAATTGATGACATTTCACATTGATTTATCTGGTGGATTCGATCTCAAACTAATGGAGAACAAAGTCTAGCTTGTAAGACTACAATTTCATTTGGATTAGCTATTTTTGGCAGTGTTTTTAAAATATTTTACTGTAACAATGTATATGAAAAACTTTTTACTATAGAATTTTTTGTGATGTTTTTGGAGTTATTTTTGGGATATATTTTGGAGTATTTTTAAAATTTAAAAATTTTTGTGATATTTTTTAAAAATTACCACCACCACCTGCCACCGCCACCACCCCCTTCCTTCTCCTCCTTCTCCCCTCCTCCTCTATCTCTTTCCTCCTCCCATTTTCTCTTCCATTTCTTTCTTCCCCTCCTCCCTTCCCTTTCCCCGTCACACCTCACCCCTCCCTATCCACCCCCCAGATTCGGCTAAGACCAGATCGAGGCCTCTGGTCATGACATTTCGACATTTTGCGATCTGGTTGTGGCTAGATCATAACCTCTGGTCGAGGCCAGATTTAGGCGGGAAGGGGAGGGATGGGGCATGACATGAATGGGCAGGCAAAGGGGAAAAGAGAATGGGAGGTAAAAGATGGGAGGAGAAGAGGAGGAGGAGGAAGAAAGAGAGGGAGGAGAAGGGAGGGGATGATGGCGGTGGTGGGTAGGAATAGTGGTGGTGGGTGGTGGTGATAAATGGAAAAAAAAATATGGTGTATATTTTATTTTTTATTTTTTTGTATATTTGGAGTTGTTTTTGATATATTGTATGGATATGGTATTTTTTATTGTGTACTACTGTGACATTGTATATGAAAAACTTGTTTTTCAAAAAAAAAAAAAAAATCCAAACGAAGTGGACGGAACATTGTATATTGTGTACACTCACACATCAACTATTCATATACGATTTAGCAGAGTGTAAGTTGTAACCAAATGTGTGGTATATTCAGATGATGCTATTTATTAAAAAAAAAAACTCAGAATTGATGTTTATTATCCATCTTCTGTCGAAGTCGATTTTAGTCGTGTACCAATTGGGAAGATTATTGATCATCTCTGATACACTATCAAACAGTAGAATGACTAGGAAGTTCACTTGTACAAGCAAATACTCCTGAACAAATGGCCCTTAAGAGGTCGTACAAGAGATCTTTCTTGACTTGGTAAGAAAACCTTTAAAGTTTACACTGGCTTTTCAGATTAACATAATTCACGAAATTCCTTTTCTTTTTCTTTCTTTTTGGGTAAATCATAAGAATCCATTTCAATAACATTTTATAGATGTACACTTAAGGTGTGTTTGATAAAATTGAAATTTAAAAACTGAAATTTGAAATTTGAAATCTAAAGTTTGAATATATTAAATTATTAAATATTAAATCAAATACATTTGAGTGTATATTACATTCAATGATAAGTGAATACCTTACCACTTATTTTTTAGAGCAAGTTTTTCCTACGAAATTCAGTGTCATTTATTTAATTCAGATGTTCAATTTTTTGTTATCAAACGTGTTTGACCATATTAAGATTTGAATTAATTAAATTTAAGTGTTGAATTTGATTATCAAACATGGTCTTACTTTGGCTCAATAAAATATCAATGAAAATTTGGCTGAAAATAATTCTTGCTTTGATGGTAAGTTCTAGGTTAATGAAGTTGAGGGGAGAATTGAGTTGGGTTGGATGATAAGATGGAAGGGATTATAAGTAGGAGGTCATGAATTCAAGACCTTCCACTTACAAAAAAAAAAAAAAAAGGAAAAATCGTTCAAAACGTCCCTCACATTTTGTATAATGATTTTTTTCGTCTTTCACTTTTAAAAGTGTAATTTTACGTTCCTTACAAATTCATATTGGTCAAATTTGGTCCCTACCTAGGTTTCCGACTAATTTTTGGTCAGAATTCATCACGTGCCTTGCATGTGATTATTTTTTAGAGGTACAATTGTCAAATCAAAATTTACATAATCCATCTATAATCCCCTACATTTCACAAAATAAATTGTTTCATCCCTCACATTCACAAAATAAATTTTTCATCCCTCACATTTCACAAAATGAATTTTTTCATCTCTCATTTATCATGTGCACAAGTAGTTTTTTTTTTTTAAGTTCATGTATATATCTATTTGATTTCACCTAAACAATATGAATAGTATGTAATATATCTCTATTTTATTTCACTTAAACAGACTAATTGTAGCTGTGCATATGCTATTCAATAGATATATACATGAGTTTAAATCTAATAATTTTTTTAAACCCATATATATTTATATTTGATTTCACCATATAAATTTATTTAATATTTGCAACCTTTTCTATTTTGGTAATAATTCATTTATTAAGTTGTATAATAAGACCATCTAATTAATTAATCAATGTTAATTCGAATTTTATAGTCATACTAACAAATTACAATTTAAATCTGAAATTTTTACTCGCTCCCTTTAAGACCAATAGTTGAATTTCTTACCTTATGATTATCTTAAAATTTAAAAGTGTCAATCACTTACTTCATTTTGTCATACTTTTCCTTTATTTATTTTTTCTGTCCAAATTTAATTCAATATAAATGCTTGATAATGTTTATAATTAAATATCTTTTTTGTTTTCAATTTTTGAGTAAAAGGAATGAACATGAATAAAAAAACTAACAATTTTTTTTAAACCCCTGTATATATCTATTTTAATTTCACTTGAACAGTACATTCAGGTGAAATAAAATAGAGATATATTACATGCTATTCATATTATTCAGGTGAAATCAAATAGATATATATTAATTTTAAAAAAAGTTATTCGTACACATGATCAATGAGGGATGAAAAAATTATTTTTAAAATATGAGGGATGAAAAAAATTTATTTTGTGAAATGTGAGGGACGGAATAATTCATTTTGTGAAATGTGAGGGACTATGGATCAGATTATGTAAACTTTGATTTGACAATTTTGGCCTTCAAAAATGATTACAAGCAAGGCACATAGTAGATTCGTATTAAAAACTAGTCGGAAACCTAAATAGGGACCAAATTTAACCAATGTGAATTTGTAAGGGACGTAAAATATACTTTTAAAAGTAAGGGACTCAAAAAGTCATTTTGTAAAATGTAAGGGATGTTTTGAACGATTTTTTCAAAATAATAATAATAATAATATTTTTTTTTAGGTGAAAATTAATTAGTCAAATGAATGATCCATGATGCAAAACATTTGGAATTCAACTTCTAATTGTTTCTGATCTCCTTTTAGGTACTCTTTCACGCTTTGAAAAGTATCAGTACCAGGACAGCAGGACTCGGGTCACGTCACAGTCGATATGCGTAAATGCAAAACTGGAGGGAACCATTTCTGTATTAAGTTTTGACAACGAAGTTTACCTAATTTTCCTCTCAGTTGTACCAATAAAACGAAGTTCATTCGTACCAATAAAACAGAACAACGAGAATCTGTAACAGCTCAAACGTGTTCCCAATCAGTCTTTTATCATTCATTCATCAGTTTGTTGCATATTAATCCATCTTTGCCTTCACAGCTGATGAAATTTTCAATTTCAAATACCATGTGGGCATTTTGGACATCAACATTAGCAAACATTTTTCTACTGCTCCAATTTGTCATGAGCTTTCCAGCAATCCACGTTTCACTTTCAGCTGCAAAACAATTTCAAAATGAGACTGATCGCCTTGCTTTGCTTGAATTCAAGCATCAGATATATGACGACCCGTTTGGAGTGCTGAATTCCTGGAACCACTCACAATACCATTGCCAGTGGGAAGGAGTCACATGTAGTACTCGACATCAAAGGGTCGTAGCCTTGACTCTGATCATGGTTCGCCATCACGGGTCGCGGTCGCGTCGCGGTCTCGATTGTTCCACATCCGTCGCGACATATCGGTTGAATATCGGGTGATACGAACATTATAACACATTAAAGTTTCCAAAAATTTTGAAAAATTATTAAAATTAGAAAATACTAAAAAAGACATAATTTAAAAAAATATCGGAGTCGACTCCGAGTTGACTCGGGTATATCGGCCGATATCATGCATCACGGATTCGAATCGGTCAATATCGGTTGAGTCAGAGCGAGTCATCGCGGATATGGTGATATCCGCGTTTCGGGTATCGGTATCGGAACGGTAGGGACCGTTCCGGTTACGACTCGGCCGAGTCGTCTCGGACTCGGCCGAGTTGGCGAACCATGACTCTGATGGATAGGCAGTTATCTGGAACTATATCTCCTCACGTCGGAAATCTAAGCTTCATGCGGTTCATCCAGCTTGGGGAGAATCAATTCCATGGTGAGATTCCCCAAGAATTCGATCGACTCTTTAGGCTAAGAGTTTTGAACCTGTCAAGCAACGCACTCGGTGGAAAAATCCCAGCAAACCTGAGCTACTGCTCACAGATGATAACTATTATCCTAAACAGGAACAAGCTCGAAGGCAAAATTCCAATTGTTCAGCTGAGCAATTTGAAGAAGCTTGAAAATTTTCATCTTGATACGAACAATTTGACAGGTGAGATTCCCTCCTCCATCGGGAACTTATCATCACTGACCACACTTGCTCTAGACTTCATCAATCTGGAGGGAAATTTGCCCAGCGAGATGGGGCTCTTAAAAAACTTTGCTATATTAGCAGCTGGAGGAAATAAACTATCTGGTATAATCCCTGCCTCTATCTTTAATTGTTCAGCCATTATTGCCATTTCAGTACCCACCAATTCCTTTCATGGCAATCTCCCAACCAACATAGGTCTCACCCTTCCAAATTTGGAAGGATTATATCTCGGGGCAAACAAATTTTATGGAAACTTTCCAACTTCAATCACCAATGCTTCTGGGCTTGAGGTACTTGATCTTTCCAGAAATAAGTTTGAAGGCCAAATTCCAGCTAATTTAGGAGATCTCACAAATCTTATAGTATTTGATCTTTATGATAATCTCTTCGGCAGTAAATCTACCGGAGATTTAGATTTTGTTGCATCATTGATCAACTGCAGTAATCTAAGATCCCTTTCCTTGAGTGGCAATGAATTTGGTGGTAATATACCTAAGGTCATGGCCAATCTCTCAAATCAACTGGTTGAAATGTACTTGGGAGCAAACCAACTGTCGGGAACCATTCCAGAAGGATTTGGAAATTTTGTCAACCTATATATTCTTAGCCTTGAAGAAAACTCTCTTTCTTGGTAAATTAAAAATTTTACGTCGTCTGCGGCTGGATCATAATGAATTTTCAGGACAGATAGTCTCTACTTTAAGTAACAGCACCACCCTGTACCATCTGGATCTATCAACCAACCATTTTGAAGGGGGCAATGTATTTGACAATGTTCTTGTGAACTATCAAAATTTGCAATATCTGGATATATCTCAAAACAACTGCACTGGAATTATATCACCACATTTTTTGCAGACACAATCATCGCTGATGTATATGATATTAGGTGAAAATTCGTTTAGCGGTTCTCTGCCGCCTGAAATTGGAAAGCTTATACATTTGGTGGATTTCAATGTTTCCCACAACCACCTTGTTGGAGATATACCGTTATCACTTGCTGATTGTTCAAATCTGGAGAATCTTTCTATGCAAGCCAATTTTTTCCAAGGTACAATTCCACCAAATTTGGCTTCTTCAGTTCTTTGAAGTGCATCCAGAAATTAGACCTTGCAAGTAATAAGTTGACTGGTCCAATACCAAAAGAACTTGAGAAGCTCCAATTTTTGAGATACTTAAACCTTTCCTCTAACGACATTGAGGGCGAGATACCAAACACAGGAGTTTTCAGCAATGCGAGTCAAATATCATTGATTGGCAACAACAAACTCTGTGGAGGCATTCCAGAATTGGAGTTCCCACCTTGCCCAGTGATTAAGGGGAAAAACAGAGGAAAGTTTAAGGTTATCATATTGCTGTCCATTGTTTTACCTGCAACTCTGGTTCTTGGTATATTGTGGTTATATTTCTTGGCATATCAAAACAGAGAAAGAAGAGTGGCAGCCTGGGTCTCTATCATGTCCACAAGAGTCGATAAGCATTTACAAATTTCTTACCATGAACTTCATCGTGTAACTTCAGGATTTTCTCCAGAAAACTTAATTGGCTCAGGTAACTTTGGAACTGTCTATAAAGGAAGGCTAGAAAAACATGGCAATAAGCTTGTAGCGGTCAAAGTTCTTGATCTTCAAAAGAATGGGGCTTCCAAAAGTATTAAAGCCGAGTGCAAAACATTGAGAAATATTCGCCATAGAAACGTCATCTCTATCATGAGTTATTGCTCCAGTATTGATTCCAAGGGTGATGAATTCAAAGCTCTAGTCTATGAGTTTATGGAAAATGGGAATCTGGACTTGTGGTTGCATCCTTCAGAGACAACTGATCAGGCAACAAGCTCAAGAAGCCTTAATCTTCTTCAGATGCTAAATATTGCAATTGATGTGGCTTCAGCATTGCAGTATCTTCACAACCACTGCGAAGCAGCGATTGTTCATTGTGATGTAAAACCTAGTAACATTCTTCTTGACAATGATCTTGTTGCACATGTGGGTGATTTTGGATTGGCAAGGCTTCTCCCAAAACCCATCAACATATCTTCCGAGCAGGGAACCAGCAGTACTATTGCTATTAAAGGAACAATCGGTTTCACAGCCCCAGGTAAATACAAATTCTTATGGTCACTTAAATTGTACACAAACTATTAAGGTTTAGACATAAAAAAAAAACATAGTACTATTATTTGGCTCTTTAACTCATTCTTTATTTCATTGTGAAGCGGAGTAAAGGACTTTGGGAGATACAATAGCTGATTCTCTTTATTTAATTTTTTTCCTTCTCAATTTTGTCATGTCACACTTTCTCTCCATTCATTTTTTTAAATATGTATATATACATACATATATATATATATATATTGTTCATTTGTCATTTATCATTTTCAACTGTTGATTTATCATATCATTTGATAATTGCATGAATAATCAAACTCACAGAGTATAGGTTAACAAATATATTCATATGGAAGTAGCCGTAAATAATTGATTCAGTTTCAGTCCCTTAGATAATTTTCCCTATTTTCTTTAGTTTTTCTTGCACAATGTAACAATAATATATCTAAAAACAAAAATACAGAGTACGGAATGGGTGTTGCGGCATCAACTCTGGGGGATGTCTACAGCTATGGAATTCTTTTGCTAGAGATGGTCACAAGGAAGAGGCCAACAGATTATATGTTCATGGATGAGGTTGATCTGCACAATTATGTTAATAGAGCCTTGCCTGGACAAGTTTATGAGATCGTGGACCCCTTGCTTCTTTCTAAAGCAAGAGATGAAAACGAAAGAATGACTCCTGGAGGGGATAAACTGAGGGTGGAAGAGAGATCGAGTGTGCTATTTCCCTGTTGAAAATCGGGCTCAAATGCTCAGAGAAATCGCCAAATGATCGTATGCACATGAATGAAGTTGTCGGAAAATTGCATCATATTAAGGATGTTTTTCTTGGTGTCAGGGCATATCAAAAAAATCTTGAACCTTAATAGCCACAGGTACATACAAGAATTTAATACGGTTCACAAGTTGAAGTTCATTTCTTCTATTTTAGATGAGCAATTTTATTCTTGATATCGTCTTATAAGCTAACTCATTCTATTATTCGGAATCTAGTTGACAGGTGCCGAATTTGTGCAATAATAATAAATAAATAGATAAAACCTAATTACCACCAAAAGTAGCCAATAATCAATTTAGGTACTGGAACAGGGACTCTAGGCGTGCAACGGGTTACTTGATTCACCCTGTTCCCGAAGAGTTTACTTGATCCGATATATCCAAATTAATTATCTAACTAAATTCACTAACTAGCAGACGGTGGCAAGTAGGGTCGTCTCCTCAGGGACTGGGGAGAAATTTATTTCCTTTCGAATAAAAACAAATAGGGGGTTTTAGAATTAAAAGCTAACTAAATAATTTAACTGCAGAAAATAATTAATTAAAAGAAATAATTAGGAGAGCTCTAGCCAAGGGTACACTTCAGAAATGGTTCAAGCACTGATCATTGATTCCCAAATAATTCCAACAATTATTAATAGATTGGTTATAGTTGTCATGCACGCAATAAACAACCAACCCTTCCTTAATTTCTCGATAGTTAAGGTACGACCATTAACTATTTCTCTAACCCAAAAACAACCCTAGGTACGACCGTAGGTTTTAATTTCTAGATTGCATTAATAATTATAAAGGCCCAATCCTAACTAACAAACACGCTACGAGAGTTTGTTTAAATTTGATCATACGTTTCCCTGACATAAACCCAATTACGCCAGCTGCTACTGAGATAGGGATATTCGAATAATTACGGATTTAATTACCCTAATTAGCAAAATAGCCTATATGAATAATTAATTATTGCGCACTAATCAATCATACACACGAGCTATAACAATTAAAAGCAGAAAATATATAAATATCAATAAATGAAAGAAATAATTAAAAGCGGTTTAGATCTCACAGTAATTGCCGAACCAATTCGTCGTTGCCCCCTTGACTAGAATTAAGCAAACTCTTCGGGAACAGGGTGAATCAAGTAACCCATTACACACCTAGAGTCCCTATTCCAGTACCTCGAATTGATTATTGACTACTTTTGATAGTAGTTAGGTTTTATTTATTATTATTGCACAGGTTCGGCACCTGTCACCTTTCTTTCTTTGTTCATCTTCGTGGTATTTTCTCCAACAGACTCAAGTCTTCTAATCCTTGCAGAAAAGACATGCAATGTACTAAAATACAAGTTTAAAAAGTTAAAATTATAGAATTAAAAAGTAAGTCATCAGCAACTATTTGATCCTTCCTAACAAGTTTTATTTATTTTTTTGATAATTTCCTAACAAGTTTTTGAGTTAAGTGGATAGAGACTTAAAAGCAAGTCACTATCAATAATTTGGTCCTTCCCACTTATCATAGACGAAAGTCTTTTAGTAGACGGACAGCCATAGACCTGAAAGAATAATAAATTGTGGCCACCAACATAGAAATTGTGAGTATTCGGATTGGTCAATATTGACGACCCAAATGAGGGTTTAGCAAAACTTTGAATCTCATTTTGCTGAAAATTGCAAGAAGAGAAATTTTTTTGTTGCTTCTTCCATACCCATCAAATGAGATTCTTAACTGTCTTGATTGCAGACTAAAGTGGAAAGTGAAGGCAAAGACCAAAACAAAGCAAAATGGACAAAATATTGTCATCCCAAAGTATTGTCAAGAGTGTAATTTATTTCAACAAAAAACCAGTGCCTTTCTCCAGTCAACCTCCCCTCATCACGCCTTGTACTTCTCAAGATGACAATCTCGACTATAAGAATAACAACTAGTTGACTGGAGAGTTGCCCAGGAGGGGGTATGGGTTGGGTAGATAAGTCCCTGTGAGGACCTCAAGAGTTGCCGGCTTTTGAGGTTTCTCACGGGATTAGGTTTATTTGCGTAACTCTTACTTTCTGTAAGAACATGTAAGAAAAAAAAGAGAGTCGCCCCCCGGAAAGAGAGAGGTGGGGTTCTCACAAGGCGTGATGATGCCCAGGTTGTTTAACTTGTGACAGGGATTGGTGGAAAGTTGGTTAATGATATGGTTAAACACATTAGCCACCAATGCAAGGGGAGAGCCTGTAAAGGAATTGATGTGCAGTTGTAGAATTTGTGCAAATTATTGAAAATCATGCGTGAAAACAATCCAAAAAACTAACTTGAAGAATCAAAATCTCACGACTCATGCTACGAACAAAATTGGAATGATAGATTAATATGAAAGTTCTAGCAAAGTTTTATCCCAAAAGCTTTATAAACATCCACTGATTTCATATATTCCCACATGACCCCCTAATGTTTCAAAATATCCATTTCACTTCTCTAATTTTATGTAAAGTAGAAATGTGACCGAAAATAACCTATGTAATGTCATTAATTGAAATACCAATAGTGCTCTCATTAAATGTTGAATTAATCGCTGGTTTAACTACCCTGTATAAAAGTATAGGCGAATTATGTGGATAAATACAAAAATCATATGGACTAAAGTGTATATTTATATAAAACATTGGAACATTACTTTAATTTTTTTTTCCTAAATGTAGCAGACACCAGATATGCACATATTACATTAAGTCAACATAAAAAAAAACTAAAAATTATAACATCAAAAAACAAACCCTTCTTTTTTAAAAAAAATTAAAAATTTTTCAGAAAATGGCATTAAAACAACATAAAAAAAGGGAAAAATAGGGAACAGATTAAACAGAACTCACCTAAGCCAACCGACAGATTCTAGCATATCAAGATGCTTGTGATTTGTGTTAATTGGGAAGATCAAGTACTCCACACAAATGAAGGCTTCCTGTTAATCATAATCTCTGGTAGATGATCACATTAAACAGGAGGATAATCACATAATCTCTGGTAGATGATCACATTAAACAGCACGATAATCACATTAATCCCAGCTTTCACGGTTTGAAAAGTATTAGATATGCGTAAATTGCAAGTTGGTGGAATCTAACTGAACATTTCTGTATTGAGTTCTGACAACGAGGTTTAGCCCCAAGAATACACCAAGAAAATTAAATCCCATTAGTTCCAAATGTGTGGGCTATATACAAGATTCTGCAATAGCTCAAAACATTCTTCCCATTCCACAGAAACTTTTATCATTCAATCATCAATTTGTTGCAAATTAATCCATCTTTGCCTTCACAGCTCATCGAAATTCCAAATACCATGTGGGGATTTCGCTCATCGACATTAGCAAACATTTTTCTCCTCCTCTCAGTTGCCATGAACTTTCCAGTAAGCCATGTTTCAGCTACTTAACATTTCCAAAATGAGACAGATCGCCATGCCCTGCTTGAGTTCAAGAATCAGATACATGATGACCCGTTTGGAGTACTGAAATCCTGGAACCACTCACAGCACCATTGCCAGTGGGAAGGAGTCGCATGCAGTGCCCGACATCAAAGGATCATTGCCTTGACTCTGAGGAGTAAGCAGTTGTCTGGAACTATATCTCCTCAGGTCGGAAATCTAAGCTTCATGAGGTTCATCCAACTTGGGGAGAATCAATTCCATGGTGGGATTCCCCAAGAATTCAGTCGCCTCCTCAGGCTAAGAGTTTTGAACTTATCAAGTAATGCACTCGATGGAAAAATCCCAGAAAATCTGAGCTACTGTGCAGAGATGATAGCTATTGACCTAACCAGTAATAAGCTAGAAGGGAAGATTCCAATTGATCAGCTAAGCAATTTGAAGAAGCTTAAAGGAATATATTTCACCAAAAAGAATTTGACGGGAGAGATTCCCTCTTCCATTGGGAACTTATCATCATCATTGAACGCACTCGGCCTTGACTTCAACAATCTGGAGGGAAGTTTGCCTCTAGAGATGGGGCTCTTGAAAAGGTTGGTGCAATTATTTCTTGCAGCAAATAAACTAGCAGGTATTATCCCTGCCTCTATCTTTAATAGTTCAGCCATTACTTCCATTTCAGTAACCGACAATTACTTTCATGGCAATCTCCCAATTAACATGGGTCTCACCCTACCAAATCTAAAACTATTAGCTGTTGCGGAAAACAATTTCTCTGGAAACTTTCCCACTTCAATCACCAATGCTTCTGGGCTTGAGAGACTTGATCTTTCCCAGAATAAAGTTGCAGGGCAAGTTCCAGCTAATTTAGGAGATCTGACAAATCTTCAATTATTAAATCTTGCTGTTAATTTCTTTGGGAATAATTCTACCGGAGACTTGGACTTTATTGCATCAGTGACCAACTGCAGCAATCTAAGAATTCTTTCCTTGAGTTACAATAATTTTGGAGGCAATATACCTAGAGTCATGGCCAATCTCTCAAATCAACTCACTGCATTTTACTTGGGAGGAAATCAACTGTCAGGAACTATTCCAGAAGGGTTTGGACATCTTGTCAATTTATATATCCTTGCCCTTGAAGAAAACTCACTTTCTGGGCTCATTCCAAGAGATTTTGGCAAATTACAAAATTTGCAACTTCTGGGTCTGCACTATAATGAGTTGTCAGGACAAATAGTCTCTACCCTATGTAACGCCACAGCTCTATACTACCTGGAATTATCATTTAACCAGTTTGAAGGGGATAATATATTTGACAATGTTCTTATGAACTGTCAAAATTTGCAATATCTGAATATATCTCAAAACAACTTTACTGGAATTATATCACCACATTTTCTGCAGACGCACTCATCACTGATGTACATCAAAATAGGTCAAAATTCATTTAGTGGTTCTCTGCCTCCTGAAGTTGGAAAGCTTATACATTTGGTGGATTTCAATGTTTCCCACAACCAACTTGTTGGAGACATACCCATATCACTTGCTGATTGTTCAGATCTGGCGAATCTTTTTATGCAAGCCAATTTTTTCCAAGGAACAATTCCACCAAATTTGGCTTCTTTGAAGAGCATCCAGCAATTAGACCTTTCAAGTAATAACTTGACTAGTCCAATACCCAGAGAACTTGAGAAGCTTCAGTTTTTGAGCTACTTAAATCTTTCCTACAATGACATTGAGGGTGAGATACCAAACACAGGGGTTTTCAGGAATGCAAGTCAAATATCATTGACCGGCAACAACAAACTCTGTGGAGGCATTCCAGAATTGGAGTTCCCACCTTGCCCAGTGATTAAGGGGAAAAATAGAGGAAAGCTGAAGGTTATCATATTGCTGTCCATTGTTTTACCAGCAACGCTTCTGGTTCTCGGTGCATTGTTGTTATATCGTAAAGGAGAAAGAAGAATGGGGGCAGGATTCTCTAGCATGCCCCCAAGAATCGATGAGGTCTTACGGCTTTCTTACCATGAACTTGTTCGTGCAACTTCTGGATTTTCTCCAGAAAACTTAATTGGTTCAGGAAATTTTGGATCTGTCTACAAAGGAAGGCTAGAAAAACATGGCAACAAGCTTGTAGCAGTCAAAGTTCTTGATCTTCAAAAGAATGGGGCTTCCAAAAGTTTTAAGGCCGAGTGCAAAGCATTGAGAAATATTCGCCATAGAAACCTCGTTTCTATCTTGAGTTATTGCTCCAGTATTGATTCCAAGGGTGATGAATGCAAAGCTCTAATCTATGAGTTCATGGAAAATGGAAATCTGGACCTGTGGTTGCATCCTTCAAAGACAACCGATCAGGCAACAAGCTCAAGAAGTCTTAATCTTCTTCAGAAGCTAAATATTGCAATTGATGTGGCTTCAGCATTGCAATATCTTCACGACCACTGCGAAGCTGAGATTGTTCACTGTGATCTAAAACCAAGTAACATTCTTCTTGACAATGATCTTGTTGCTCATGTGGGTGATTTTGGATTGGTAAGGCTTCTCCCAAAACCCGTCAACACTTCTTCCGAGCAAAGAACCAGCAGTACTATTGCCATAAAAGGATCAATCGGTTATGCAGCTCCTGGTAATTATTATAATTTACAACCTTTTTATGGTCAAGATGTCACTTAATTGTGCACAGAAATATAGAACTTTTGGGACATTTAATTCTTTTAAATTTTTTTTTCACATTTACATGAGATCTCTAATCACCGATGCATAGTAGCTAATTTGTTCTAAAAGAAGGTCCATTATGCCCCAATCTAACATTTGATTAATTTTAATCACTTATATTTTTTTATATAGTTTTTGTTTTACTACCCAATAATAATATGTCTAGAAACAAAATCGCAGAGTATGGAATGGGTCATGCGGCATCAACTCAAGGGGATGTCTACAGCTATGGCATTCTTTTGCTAGAAATGATTACAGGAAGGAGGCCAACAGGTGATATATTCGTGGGTGACCTTGATCTGCATAACTACGTTAATGGGGCTTTGCATGAACGAGTTCCTGAGATCGTGGACCCGTTGCTTCTTTCTGAAGGAAGAGATGAAAACAGTCGAATTACTCATGGAGAGAAAACTATTAATGGTGGAAGAGAGATTGATTGCATTATTTCCTTGCTGAAAATTGGACTCAAGTGCTCTGCAAGATTACCAAATGATAGGATGCATATGAATGAAGTTGTCAGAAAATTACATCTCATTAAAGATGTTTTCCTTGGTGTCAGGGTACATCAAGAAAATGTTAAAGCTTAATATCTACAGGTATACTCGAGAATTTAATATCTACAAGTTGAAGTCCATTATTTCTACATTAGGTAAAGAATTTTATTCTAGGCATAGACGTGCAAGCTAACTCGTCCTACCAGTCAAAATCTATTCCAGTCCAAAAAAAGAGAAAAAAAAAAATCAAAAGCTATGTGTCGTGCTCACTAGCATGGAAAAAGATGGCTTCTCATACTAATGCATGAATTCTTAACTTGCAGCTGCTTACAGGTCTGAATCTCCAAGCTGAAGTTGTTAATGGGGTGAGCTAATGAAGAAGACACTTTTGGCTTTTTATTTGGAAAAAAAATAAATGGATGATTCAAACATATTCCTATAGTCTTTCTTTATAAGAACTAGATGTTCTTGGAGGCAGTCAATTGGCTCTATTATGCTTGAACATCTTAATGCTTCCATATTATGCTTGGATCCAGTGCTTGTATAAAATACAATACATTATACTTACAATGCATAGTCTTGCTCCCATGATTGATTTGATTTAAATGAGAACAACATAAGGGGATAAAAGGTGAGGATCAATTGTACAATAAATACATATGTTCCCTTATTACCATGTCCATATATTGCTCAATTAAGTCACATTGTCTCTTAAAGCTAAGGATTTAGCCATGGTGGGGCTCATACTTTTATGCCATATCTTGATGATTTTGAACGTAAAATGTTAGCAGGGCCTAGTAAGTAACCTAGGGAATATCGGGCTGAAAGAAAAGTTAAAGAAGTAAGTGAAGAGGAAGGAGAAATTTTTTTTTTTAAAAAAAAAGATAAAATGTTAAATAATTGGAGGAACTGCCAAGAAAAAAATTCAGAAGGGAAAAGAAGTGAACAATTTCTCTATGTGCAAGTCGCTTCCTCTGGCTCTGGCAGCCCAACTTAGGGTCAAAATTCGTGAGAAGCACAAATGGGGCAAAGTATCAATTGGGAACATTGTACCATCGTAGTAATAACAGACTCTCCATTAGCAGGGAAAAAGGAAAGCAAAAAAGTGTATAGGGGGCAAAGTGTAATATTTTGACAAAATTTAGTTTTTTTTTTTCAGGGAATGTTTTTACAAAATTAGTTCATGAAGCAAAGTGAAATACCGAATTATAAGAAGGTACACTTTGTTGCTTTGATAATATCATTAAGGCTTAATCTTTTTTGCACCATTAACGTATATATTTATGAGTTTAGATGCATGCCACGCTATTTCAGTTTGAATTTAAATATCAAACTTTGCAAGCATCTAAAAACCTGCTTGTCTATATACCATTAATGATTTGTTCATTAAACAATCTCATTTTCAACTTGTTTAAAATAACACCATTATTTTAGCTTTTATTTCTGTTAATTGCACTTTGCATTCTTTGCTCTGACTACCATTTCCATCCTTAAACTACACTTTGCTCTTTAAACTGTAAATTTCATCCCGTTTAAATACAATTCTTGATGGAATGCTCAAAATTAATAGATAATTCCCATATTCCGTTAACTTATCATTATAACTAAAATTAACCAGATGTATTGGTACATAAATGTCAATTCAAAAACCCTTAAAAGCTCTTAAAAATTAGAAGTATTTTCTTTTTTCTTCCTTTGTTCTTACATTTTTTTCATTTCCTTTTCTACTGCCACCCAGAAGGTACCACCATCGCTGCACCATACAATCAATAGTTTAGGCCAAGTCTAACACCGGAATCAATAGTATGCAGGTCTCTGTATCTCCATCATTGAAGACCAATATCCGCATAATCATCCGCTACAAATACGTATCCAAAGGAAATCAAACCCCTATATCCAAAAAAAAATCCCAACTAAAAGAATTATTCTCAACCAAAACAGCAATGACAGTACAACTAATGTTGCAGTCAATGTCAAAATTGATGAAAAAAGGGTGTGATATGAAAAAAAAAACAATTTTTCCTAACTGCATTTGACTTTTGAATTCCTCGATTAATTTTTTTTTATTTAACCAATTTCATGGGTAATCTTTTTTTTTCAACAAACGAATTTCATGGGTAATCTAGGTTTGAAAATTCCACCATCGTTGGATCAGTTTCATGGCTGTCATTTGAAATCCTTAGTACCCTTAAAGCTTAATGGTAGCAACTTCTCATCTCTGCAAGTTGGATGTCAAAAAACTCGTCGAAAAAGCACTATTCTATAGTAGTAATAAAGTTTAAAATGCCATAGTCCTTAAGATCTAAGACAACAGGATGACTACGGAGTTTACTTCTTGTACAAGCAGGCCCATAGTCATTAAGATCTAAGACATCAATATTAAAACAACAACTATCAACTACGGAGTTCACTTCTTGTACAAGCAGGTCTAAACATTGGCCCATAGTCATTAAGATTTAAGAAATTGCACAGTACATCTTTTTTGACTTGGTAAGAAGACCTTTAAACCTTTAAACAGCAGTAAGAAACACACACACACCCGAATCTAAGGTCATTTCACCAGTTTATCCAAAAGGCAATTGCTGACTTCTGGGTAAACTCACGGACCTTAAATCCAAACACACGCACACCTCTCAAACCGACGTGGGACAAGATTTTGTGGGGAAAGGGAACGAGGGAGGCTTAAGGGCCTTAACTAAGAACCTACCACACACTACACTCCTCGCTTGTTTTTCTTGTCTTTCAACAGCTGTAAGAAATACACACACACCCGAATCTAAGATGATTCCACCAGTTTACCAAAAAGGCAATTGCTGACTTCTGGGTAAACTCACAGACGTTAAATCCAAACACACGCACACCTCTCCAACCGTTGTGGGACAATATTTTGTGGGGAAAGGGAACGACGGAGGCTTAAGCGCCTTAACTAAGAGGGAGGCTTAAGGGCCTTAACTAAGAACCCACCACACATTACACTCCTCGCCTGTTTTTCTTGTCTTTCAACAGCTGTAAGAAACACACACACACCCGAATCTAAGGTGATTCCACCAGTTTACCCAAAAAGCAATTGCTGACTTCTGGGTAAACTCACGAACCTTAAATCCAAACACACGCACACCTCTCAAACCGATGTGGGACAAGATTTTGTGGGGAAAGGGAACGAGGGAGGCTTAAGGGCCTTAACTAAGAACCCACCACACACTACACTCCTCGCCTGTTTTTCTTGTCTTTCAACAGCTGTAAGAAACACACACACACGTAAATCTAAGGTGATTCCACCAGTTTACCCAAAAGGCAATTGCTGACTTCTGGGTAAATTCACGGACCTTAAATCCAAACACACGCACACCTCTCAAACTGATGTGGGACAAGCTTTTGTAGGGAAAGGGAAAGAGGGAGGCTTAAGGGCCTTAACTAAGAACCCACCACACACTACACTCCTCGCCTGTTTTTCTTGTCTTTCAACAGGTGTAAGAAACACACACACACCCGAATCTAAGGTGATTCCACCAGTTTACCCAAAAGGCAATTGCTGACTTCTGGGTAAATTCACGAACCTTAAATCCAAACACACGCACACCTCTCAAACCGATATGGGACAAGATTTTGTGGGGAAAGGGAACGAGGGAGGCTTAAGGGCCTTAACTAAGAGGGAGGCTTAAGGGTCTTAACTAAGAACCCACCACACACTACACTCCTCGCCTGTTTTTCTTGTCTTTCAACTGCTGTAAGAATCACACACGCACGCAAATCTAAGGTGATTCCACCAGTTTACCCAAAAGGCAATTGCTGACTTTTGGGTAAATTCACGAACCTTAAATCCAAACAGACGCACACCTCTCAAACCGATGTGGGACAAAATTTTGTGGGGAAAGGGAACGAGGGAGGCTTAAGGGCCTTAACTAAGAACCCACCACACACTACACTCCTCGCCTGTTTTTCTTGTCTTTCAACAGCTGTAAGAAACACACACACACCCGAATCTAAGGTGATTCCACCAGTTTACCCAAAAGGCAATTGCTGACTTATGGGTAAACTCACGAACCTTAAATCCAAACACACGCACACCTCTCAAACCGATATGGGACAAGATTTTGTGGGGAAAGGGAACGAGGGAGGCTTAAGGGTCTTAACTAAGAACCCACCACACACTACACTCCTCGCCTGTTTTTCTTGTCTTTCAACAGCTGTAAGAAACACACACATACCCGAATCTAAGGTGATTCCACCAGTTTACCCAAAAGGCAATTGCTGACTTCTGGATAAATTCACGGACCTTAAATCCAAACACACGCACACCTCTCAAACCGATGTGGGACAAGATTTTGTGGGGAAAGGGAACGAGGGAGGCTTAAGGGCCTTAACTAAGAACCCACCACACACTACACTCCTTGCCTGTTTTTCTTGTCTTTCAACAGCTGTAAGAAACACACACACACCCGAATATAAGGTGATTCCACCAGTTTACCCAAAAGGCAATTACTGACTTCTGGGTAAACTCACGAACCTTAAATCCAAACACACGCACACCTCTCAAACCGATGTGGGACAAGATTTTATGGGGAAAGGGAACGAGGGAGGCTTAAGGGTCTTAACTAAGAACCCACCACACACTACACTCCTCGCCTGTTTTTCTTGTCTTTCAACAGCTGTAAGAAACACACACACACCCGAATCTAAGGTGATTCCACCAGTTTGCCCAAAAGGCAATTGCTGACTTCTGGGTAAACTCATAGACCTTTAATCCAAACACACGCACACCTCTCAAATCGATGTGGGACAAGACGATGTGGGGCATTTCAGATTAATCCCATTGGAAAGCGCATAATTCGCGAAATACCCTTTTTTTAATTAATCGCAACTATCTACTTCGATAAAATTTTACAGAGATACACTTACTTTGGCTCAATAAAATATCAATGATAGATTGGCTGAAGAAAACTTCTAATTTGATTATAATTTTTTGGTTAATGAAGTGGAGGTGAAAATTAATTAGTCCATAATGCAAAACATTAGGAATTTAACAGCTAAATGTGCCTTCCCATAATGCAGAAGATCACAATAGATATTCATAAACCTATTTCGTGTCTGGACTCGTTTTATCATTCAAGCATCAATTTGTTGCAAATTAATCCATCTTTGCCCTCACAGCCTATCGAAATTCCAAATACCATGTGGGGATTTTGCTAATCAACATTAGCGAGCATTTTTCTCCTACTCTCAGTTGCCATGACCTTTTCAATAAGCCATGTTTCAGCTGCAAAACATTTTCAAAATGAGACCGATCGCCTTGCTCTGCTTGAATTCAAGAAGCAGATATATGATGACCCATCTGGAGTGCTGAACTCCTGGAACCATTCATAACACCATTGCC